ATCCCTACAATATTCAAATTTCAAAGTCTGACTTGAGTTTCGTCGAAGTTGCATTCGAATGCTCGGTTCCACTGCCTATAGTCGAATGTAGAGGCTGAGGCTGATCCTGAACTCCAAATTTCTTCCTGATTGGTGTAGGGGATACCAAAGCTCCTTGGGCGTTGAGCAAGGGGAACCAAGAGCTGGAGTCCAGAGAATTTTTTTAACTTGGACATGAAGCGAGGTGTGGGCCACAGAGAAGCCCGCAGAGGTGTGTAGGCGTTGGTAGAAGATCTCCTGGTGTAGGAGTTGCAGGTGATGAATTCGGGCTTGGTTGAATTACTAATTTACTGGCAGGAGAGCTAACCTTCTTGAGTATCGGTAAAACTCTGCTTTCGTCGTCTGAATTGCCGGAATCGGGGGGGGGGGGATAAACCGCCGTCGTCATCATAGGTATGGTGGTGGAATCGAACGGTATCAACACCTCCCGCCTGACAAGGAACAACGTTTTTGGATATGAAAAAACGATGAAGATAGGAAAACCTACTGGAGCAGCGGAAACTAGAGAGCCGTGAGCGTTGAATAAGCTCAATTAAATTCTGAATGTCGAAAGTGGGAACGAATCCTAACTTGATCTAGATGTTACCAGTTGAAGGAGTACTCGCTCTCGTGAATACGAGGTTGAGGGAGATGCAGAATTCGTACAGCAGGATCTTTGTGGGTTCCAAAACATCTGTCTCTGGGATTTGGATGACTCGTGTTCGTGTCAATGACAAAGTATACTCAAATTGTCCGTGTCATCATAAAATTCATTGTCTGAGGTGCGTAGTTCTCCATTTCCGATGACGGTTGGGTATGGAAGGAGGGGAATCCAACTGTAAATGAGAGACCCGACCATTGATTGTAGGCGGCAGCTTTAGATGATGGGATCTGGATAGGAGGAAGATTTTGTCTGGTGAGATATCGATATCCCCTAGAAGAGTGTCATGTAATGATAGATCTACAGAAAGATCAATACTCTTTGTGTGCAACTGATGTTTGAACGAATAACTTGCCTGATTCTGATTGCATTCGTAAAGGCAAGCATTCTTCAGGTAAATGGAATGGAAAGATAAGGTAACCGCGCATGGGAAATTTATTACATAGCAAGTTTCACATGATTTGGGACCACGTACACTCAATTTAATTTTCACACTGTTTCCCTCGCGATAATCCCTTCTGCCAACCTGAACAATGTCTGCTCGAAGTCCTTTGTATGTACCCAACCTCTTCTCTTTCAGTTGTCTATTGAATGAGGATTATCTAACTTGAAGGTCTGCGATTTTTCTCATACATGTCGCACTTGAGATACCAGTCGCTATTCAAGGAATTTGGACGCCTTCCAACTTGCCATTTCTACAATTGAATAACACAGCTGTGGTCATTCTCAAGGTGAGCTGCGATCTAAGTATCCGCCAGACAGACAAGATGATCTTTCTTATCTTACGTAGCTCTATGCTTCACTCGTTCTCGCTTCTTGTATCACCGCATTGCTATGCTACAGACTTCCTGGTACGTTTCCATTTCCCTGTTGATCGTTAAAATGTTTTCATATTTATTCGGCGCCCTGCATGTTTCACCCCCACCCTGGTCATTTATCCCATTTTGTAACCCTTCAGAATTTCTTCCTGGAAAACGCGCTTTCGCTATAGGTCTATGTGTATACCACACCGTCTGCTCAACAATCCTCTACCAAGCCCCACGTTTTATCCCACAGTCATTTGGACCTCTCTGCGAGCAGTAAGTCTGTCTTCTCAACCCTCCCAGACATCTCGTTCTGAAATCACTCCTGCCAAAAAAGATTCGGAATCACACCGGAAACCGTATGGGGAACTGCACATGGAATTGTTGGCTTCGGCGTGGTTATCTGGTGGCAAGGGACAGTTCATCTGGCTCAAATGGCGAGAGTGGCTCAGCAATAGTACATGTTTTTTTCAAAGGGGGCTAGCCTAGGGATGTTTGATTGATCCCCGTCGATCTATTGAATATCTTATTACTAAATTCCATGATCCTTGACTTACCGTGGATATTGTTGACAGAGACGCAAAGAAACCTGTACATTGTTTGTCCAACCCAAGGACACCTCAGTTAGTTTGACAGAGACGCCAAGACATCTGTACGTTTGTTGCAACCAAGTACTGTACAACTTCATGGCAATGACGCCAAGCAGCATGGACCCTCGATGGATTTCATAATTCCTCCAGTTTCGTATGATATAGTGCATTAATGACCTGACATGTTTCAGTGACAATTAATCGGCTGACGACTTCTCACCTTGTAATGGATTGTTCCCTTTGTTCTCGGGAGAGGTTTTAAGTAAGAGAAAACATTGTGACCCCGGGCCCGCAAAACTGTTTAAAATACCCTGCTCTTACTCTTCAAATTCCCACCTCTATATTTAGTCTCGTCTTCTACAATATTGATTCCTTGTACATATTTTCACGCTCAACGCTTTCAAAAAAATCAAAGAATATGGAGAAGGGAGTCACTCCGGACCTATCAGAAGAATTAAGTTATGTATATTATATTATATAAACTAGATAAATGTACTAAGTAATGCTATGCGAATTAAATCTGCGTGACGTTAAAAAAAAAAAAGGGAAAAAAATGCTATGCGATATATGTCCGTAGGGCTCTCTAGAATAAAGATAAATAAAAATAGTGGCTAGACATCACGAGCGTTAGGTAGGTTCGGGGGGTGGGGGGGGTTGAAGTAGGTGAAAAATAAATACTAGAAGATAGCGTAAGGAGAGGACGAAATGAGAGAAATTGGGATAAAGAGCCAAAAACGATTAAGTAAAAAGGTCCCACCAGTCACGGTGTATGTATGTACTATAATTAGTTGAAAACGAGGCGACAAGGATGGAATATGACTTGAAGGGTCGTTGTACGCTGAGACTCCGATAACCTGTTCATGCTTTAAAGACGAGTACCACCTCCGACCTATGGCTATTGATCGTCGCGATGTAAATGACATAGCCGGGAGAATAAGCGGCGCGACAGAGGTGGAACATGACTCGAAGGTTCGTTGTACGCTGAGACTCCGAAAACCTGTTCATGTTTTAAAGACGAGTACCACCTCCGACCTATGGTTATTGTCCGTCGCGACGTAAATGACATCGCCAGGAGAATAATCCAGCCTCTGATCCACTGGATGGTACACGGGTGTTTTGCAGTTGGCGACACTCACACTAACCAAAATACCCATCTCCATTGATATGGACAAAGCTCTCAAAATAATCTGAGGGTTTGACATGAGTGCCATGCCATGTGGTGTTTCCAAAACAATACGATCTACTTCAACTTGAGCGAAGGAAATTCTCGCTGGATGGGAAGAGAATTAACTTTCGAAGCGTGGTCCATACTAACCGGAGCGACGTACATGGTAAATTTCCATTTAAGGATGACTCCCGCGACGGAACACTGATCCGCCATGACAAATGCTGGGCATTAGAAGAAGGGGCGGTATAAGAAATGGTAGCGGTGTGTGTCCGTGACCGTTGGTCCGAGAAACAGAACCGTTCTTGAAATTCATAGGATTCGCGCGAGATACGGTACCGTCCATGTCCGTCGAAGACAGAGCGAAATGGGAAACCCATCGGCATGTTAGATAGCCGATTGTCCCTCAGCATACTCCGTAGCTGTACTTTAATGGCCAAAAGGTCTTCGTTGTATACCTTGTCGTAAAGTACAGTACCAACAGGGGGCCTTGATACAGATGCGTATGGAGAACCGGAATATTGGGGGTTATATGTGAACGGTGTGGGAGGCATGGTGCGAAACGGAATCGAAGAAACGAGGAATGGAGCTAAGGCAGGATTCAATTTAGTGAGCCGTATATGAAGAGAATGACATCCATACCTTCTGATGACGATGTTGAACGCCGTTAACAAACGCGACAGAAGGACGGGCGAGAAGAGACAAAGACTGTTGTACTTTTCAAAGAAAGTGGGTATGGAAAACAACGACTGATGACTACCCCACGAAACAGAGTCCTATAAAACAAAAAAAAGGTGGAGCACAAGAACACAAGCCAGCCGAGTCGCCCTCCTGATGGGAAGTTGGGAGCATTGACAGAAAGATCAATCCTGTTGGTTTGTTTCGTTGTCGCTAGAGCTATTGTGTCAGGATGGCTGGTAGGAGTCCAAACATTTGTTCGGAGAAACGGATCAGTGACGCCCGGAGAAGTGGATGGCCTGGTGTTGACAGGGAAAGGCTATGGAACAAAGTGCCTCATAGGCAACAAATCTATCAAATTACTTACAAGCTCTTGGTTTATACTACCGCAGTTTTTATTTTGTGCGTTGGCCTTGGGTTGTCAGGAACGACTTTTCACCTGAGGTGGTGATGAGTCTTTGTTGACTTTTGTAAGTCGATTGCCATCGAGATTCGGAGATTAACAATATGATTAAGAGATCGTTCAACTTTGATGATGTGTATTGCGAAGATGCAGATGTAGCACATTTCAGGACATCTTAGAACAAGCAGTTAGCAGATCGTTCATGATCAGGGCTTGGCACAGGATATGGATCAACAAAGGTTGATCCATCGCGTGCAACTATCGGATCAATGAATCGGAGCCCGACTCAATTCGGACTCCAAGGTTTAACGCTCAACAATAAGGACATTCAAAGCTGCATCGCAGCACGCAGCCATCAGATTATATATCACACCGCTTATAACGCAGTAGGGCTCTTCGTCAATTTATAGAACAAATAGTAACTACCCGTTGTAACTTTGCTGTTATAATTAAAGGTATGGTACTAACCTCAGTCTCGGAATAACAGACTGACTGAGGCGGTACTACTCTAAATATATCTAGAAAGTCTCTCCCTACTTCTTGGATGAAATCACAAAGTGATTGCGAAGTGGAATAGAATGGAAAAATAATGATAAGAAAATGACACATAAGTCATGGCAACGTACGGTTTGTTAATTAAAACACAATTATATTCCACACAGAATGCCATAAAAACAACTGGGGAAAGACCTCATATATTCACTCCTACTATCAATCGCAACTGGGGACTTATTTTTTTTGTCCCTGAAAACATTGAAGATTGTTCTTTAAACCTCCAAAAAGATCTCGGGATCATCAGTACACTTATGTTGAATAACCGTCTAGGTTTCCTAGGGACGGGCAAGGGACGGGGGAGGATGATTGGGTTATGTTACTTATATAAGTTACGTATGATGCAAGTATGATGGATGGTACCATTGCTTTTCTCTATCGAAAACCAGGAAAATACAGAGATGGATACTACACACGGAAGGCTAACTATGGTTTTAATGTTCAAGTACGAGTTCTGTAGGAGCGGCTTTAAAACGAGGGAAAGTAGGCCAAGACGCTCTCATAAGAAATTATGTAAGTGATGGGAAAGTGGCAAAATAAATACTGGTGATTCCGGCGATCTCGCTTGCACCGCAAAGTGTGACATCTTATCTTTAATCATTTGATGTAATTAGCCATTTCTTTTTGTTAAATTATGTTCCTCGCATTCATGTTCTTGATTCAAAGCGTAGTAAGGCATTTTAATCAAATGATCGAGGATAAGACTTTGAAGATCGCCGGAATGCAATCTCCATCGCGACCCTGGTATTTATTTTGTCACTTTATTGTTTTCTCATGAAGGTTATATAATCTGATGGCTACGAGACATTGACCAGCCGCCGGGATATCAAGGGGTGTGTCGGCATTTTCCGGAGCAGACAGCTTGAGAAGGGACCTGGATGTCCCTTATATGAGTCAGTGGAAAGAAATGTATGTAGGAGCACAATTGGAGCATTAATCACACAAACAGAACTGCATGTTACATCATCAGAATTAGTCACAGGAGTCCCTTAGATGAATCAACAACTGTCGACCAAAAGATTTCCCCACTCAGTTCATCAAAAATGCAGCTGGGGGTTGGTTTTGTGATGATAATGTAAAAAGAAATGCATGTTTCATAGTAAGTAGGTGGTCGCAAGGAGATTAAGAGACTGTCAGGCGGCCCATCTTTACAATTATGTAATTATTTCCTTATTTGGAAATTGTGGACCCTTAGACGAATAAACTAAGGTCATACCCTTTGAGGCCTTGAGGGGGTATATACTATTGAAGCGATTACATAGCCTCGAACGAGATGTACAATTACAGGAGTTTATTGTTATCATCAGACGATGCAGGACGTCTAAGGCTTAACGCTACCTTGCCAGTAGGTTCCATCTGGCCATTCATATTCAGCAATACTTGATTTGTGCATCTCGATACTGTGGAAAGGCGGTGAGAGCGAAGAAAAAACAATCAGATTCCCGACGATCATTTCACGAAGAGATATGATTTGGGGATTGACATACCTGTATCCTTCGTGAGGATTCAAGGGCACATTGTATCTCCCACGAGCGTTGATCGAGCAAGGAGTAACAAAATGTTCATGTAAATGGTCCACGAATTCCAATACGTTACGTTCCATGGTACCAGAGACAGAGATATAATCAATCAAGCTACGAGGAAAAAGCGGTGTCATCATATAGAAGAACAAAATCAAATCCAAATTCAAACCTAAGATGAATTACATATTCACATAGCCCAACGCCGCCAGCGTGAGGACAAACTGGAACCCCAAATCTGATAGATTGTGATTAACTCCTCTCTAAAATTTCGGGAGAGATGCGAGTTACTTGGCTGCCATGAGGAGTACACTGAGAACTTCGCTGACGCCAGCAAGCCTACAAGAATCGATTTGTACGACGTCAATTGCATCCGCTTGTAACAGTTGCTTGAAAACTATGCGATTGTGTGCGTGTTCCCCTGTGGCTACGCCGATACCATGTGGCTTAAGTGCCTTGCGTATCGTCGCATGACCTAGAACGTCATCTGGCGCAGTAGGTTCTTCAATGAACCTTGAGAGAAAGGGTAGATAAGAGCTATCAACCCTATTTCCGCCGTTTGGGACCTTTGTCCATCAACTTACCACGGTTTTATCTCTCCTAATCCTTTCACATAATCGATTGCTTGCTGCACATCCCATACTTGGTTTGCGTCGATCATTAGGACCGCGCCAATCGGGCCTGCATTCTTTCCCCGTAAGTCTTCACTGTTGGGATCACGAGGCTTCATGTAGGAAGGTAGGAATTGCGGGTCGTCGATAATAGAGCGGATCAGCTTGCCGCGACGGACGTCGTCCGCTTGGTTCGCGCCAACTTTCATTTTGAAATGATTGAAACCTGCTGAGACCGCTTCCTTGGTGAGACGAGAAATTTTTTCATCGCTGTAGCCTAGGATAAAAATATAAGAATCGAGTTGACAACATGAGATGAGACCTGCATGCCTATCCAGCCTGCGGATGTAACGTATGCAGGATACCTGAAAAAAAAAAAACAAACGACGGTTGTTGATTTAGAAGTAAATGATGTGAAACGCTTTACCCAATTTCTTTGACTTTCTCTTCTCGGGCCTTTTTTCCTGCTTCTTTCTCTTTGAGCATGACTAAAGCTTCTTCTTTCGTAATGGCGTCTGAGATGTATCTAAACGACGTAGATTTCACAAACTCTTCCTAGAAAGCAATGAGAAAATGAGAATTTGTCTCTGTGTAGAGTCCTGCTTACCGGCGTAAAGTCAACGACTAACTTCCATAATGGTTTTTTACGCGAGCGGGCGTACATATCCCATAGAGCATTGTTGACGGCGCCCGAAGCGATGTGGATAACACCTTTCTCTGGACCAATCCTAGGAATATGTAGTTGTCACCCTATTCCAGCTATCTCGACTACGAAAAGCTTACCAGCGCAACTGGGGATCCGCCATCATATAGTCCCAGGCCTGGCCCATATGGGCAAAGAGAGCTTCAGTATCTTTCCCGACCAAACGATTTGCGACTGCTTTTATTGCTGAACAAACCTAGAGTGAGGATGTTAGCAGTTATCTTTTTTCGTTCTGTGCATGGATGAAGGAAAAGCCAGTTTCGGAGTATGTTGATTTACAGCTTAGAGCTGGGTTGACCCAAAATTTTCAAGAGATCCATCCAAAGATGAATTCGTGTAGTAGCGGTATAGTTTCACATCCAGATCATTCAAAAGGTATGACTTACGATATCATTTCCGCGTCCGATCGTAAATGTCATCCCGTATCCAACGAGATCTGAGTCCGTCAAAAGCGCGACGTAGGCAGACGAATAATCACAGTCGGTATTCCTATGTACCAAGAAAAAGTGAACATTTATGATCATAAGCAGTTTTATTTACATACATTGCGTCTGAACCGTCCCCCGTCAAAGAAGTTGGGAACCTCACGTCTGAAATCAATGGTTGTCAGTGCTCAATCAAAGTCGAGGCTAACATACCATGGGTCTCGAAACCAGAGATCTTGACCATTAAGGTATGTGTTCAAGTTTATGGATTCGTAGGTGCGGTTGGGAGGAGAGAGGAAACATCCTTTGGATGGGTTTCTTTAAGTATCATAGGTGGGAATCAGATCTCAGATGACAGCGGTTCTTGCCGACAGATTAGGTATTCATATATCGTGATCCATAACTCATGTCACATCACATATATCGAAGTTGTCTACCAGAGATTAGGTAATTAATTGCTCTTCGAGACTCTTTATTTTAGGCTGCTCAACCTGCTCGTCAGCTGGGATTTTGACATAGAGAAGAAGCTGCTATTTTAAAACAGATGGAATTAAAGTGACCTCCCTCAGGCTCCCTGAAGCAGGAGGGTACGGGCGCTTTTCCCCAAAAAAATCCAAGGCTGCTTAGCCCAATGTGCTTCGAAGGTCGGCTGCCTTAAATACTGTCTGACAGGTGTGGAATAAAGAAATGGGTGACTTTCCATAAGGCTAACTTGAATTTCTAACTCTAAACTATTGGCAGGTAGGGTCCTCTGCCGAAGTGCCGCATGGATACCGTCCCAATCTGGTACTAGACCTGTCAGGTGGCGTTTTTCAAGAGCTTTCTAAACCTTAAATTTAGAGAGAGGGTATCGACCCCTCCTCCAGATTCTAAAATCCTTGCACTGCCCAAATAAAGCTCTTCGGGTCCCATCCCGTTGCCGTTTTTGGATTTTCATACCTCCCACGCCGACAAGAGTACCTCTCCTCCATTGCCAGCGCTGTTCCATGCAGCCAGCTCGACTGTACACCCCCTCTGGAGGCTCGGGCCCGTGCCTTTCGCAAAGAGGTAATTTTGTGTTGGATTTCATTGTCCATTGCGCAAAGTCGGCAGTGCTGCGGCTAGGTGAGAATTGAATTCTTCCTCAGTAGCATCAGCCTTGCACTCCTCAGTCTCCCGCATGAATGGAAAGCGGCCATTTTCTTCATCCATAGTACGTAGATAACCAGCCACAGTCACACCTATCTGATGATAACTAATTCTGGATTCAAGTTGAATAATTTATTTATTTTGTGTCAGGTTATTGTGGTTTACATTAAGGTTTAGATTTGAAAAAATCAAGTTAGCCTTATGGAAAGTCACCCAATATCTTTTCAACATATGGACAGGGCTTTTCCCTCTCCCCATCAATGTCGTCCTCATCGGACCATACATATCCTAAATTTAAATCGGCGGCGAGTCTTTTGAACACCGGATACCTGGAGGTAGCCTTTTCTTCTCCCCGGGCAATGGGAGACGGCCCAATTGAGAACAATATTGACAGTCTCGATATTACTAAGCGTACCAGTATAAGGGTGAACAGGGTATTGAGAGGTTGTATAAGATTCTTTACTTGGTACTTTACGCCAGGTTAGGAAATACAAGGGAAGGGGGGGATTCGGAAGTTTGAGACGCTTGTAGCTTCATGATTCTTCGCACTGACATGCTGATACTTCTGTGACCGCTATCGTATGTCGATACAGAGTGCCCTCAATCTGGAGAAGACGGGAGGCCGGAAGAAGACGAGTGTTCTTCTATCAATATTGAGACCACAGAGTTGGAGTCAAAAAATAAGAGCAGATTACAAAACAGAGACTCAGATGTCCGAGATTCTATGACATATGGCTGACCAATAAGGGATGGGACACAGTGCAGTTGGAGATCTGACAGGTGGTGAGCTTCATGATAAGAAATTCGTCGACGTTTAGAAACTCCATGCTTGTGAGGTACTACTGGCAATTTGCATAGCTCAAGAAAGGCAGAAATGGTGTCCTGACTAAAGTTATAGAGCTGAGGTGACGGAAGTTGGATGTGGGTGGTCCACAGACCAATAATATCACGTGTCCTTTTGACTCCGATAGGGCGATAATAAGTCACACATGTAACATCCACTTCAACCAATTCCCTATGGAAAGGACCGTTCCAGTGGCAATTCCAGCCTCCTACCTGGTTCTCTACAAGCTGAAGGAATGGGACGAATGCCAGACCCGTAACCCTAGTGACAAAAGTACTCATT